TAAAAATGAATACTTTTGTTTGAAATAATTAATTGTTGAACAATTAAATTATGGAAATAAATAAAGTTATTTTGCTTATATATAAACTTTAATTTTAGAAAAATGTTAATGAAATAATGTAGGAATAAAACTCAGAAGGAATAATAAAAATATGACAGAAACTTAAAGAATATTTAAACACAATTAAAAAGGAAAAGGGTAAATAAAAGTATTAAATGAAATATTTAAAGTAATATTTGGAAGTAATATTCAGAGGTAACATTCGAAAGAAATATTTAAAAAAAATAATTATAAGAATATTTAGAAGCAACATTCGGAAGAAACATTCAGAAGAGATAAAGATATAAAATAATTAGAATTATTAATAGAAGGAATACAAAGAAAGAATAAACAACTTAAAGAAATAAATATAGAATAGAATAGTTGATGCCTAGTACTTGAATAGTATTTTGGATATTCATAATAAAAGTATTGTATACATATGCTGATGGTCTATTAATGCTAATACTACTAAAATTATGCAAGGTTTGAAAAGCTTAAACTAATGTTAAAAATAATAAGAATAAAGAGAAGAAGCATAATAATTAAAGAAAGATAAAGAATAATCATACTGAAGATTAGACAATAATAATATTGAAAAAAAATTATTAAATGAATTATCACTCAACGTGAAGAAAAGGATTCTCAGCAATTAAAATTAATTTGTAAAATGATGATGAGTGGCAGAAACGATTAAGAAGGTACAAGCTATGTTGAAGCTTATCGAACTCAAAAATGCTATACATTTGTAAAACAAGAGTTATGCAACTACAATGTCTAAATCATTTTTATAAGCTTTAATATAGTTTTACCTTTTTCTGAATTTCGCAGATTTTTTAATAAGGTTTTAATATAATTTAACCAAGTTTTACCTTTATCATTTAGATGTCTGTCTAAACTCTAGATTTTGTCTAGCAACCTTAGACTCAACTTATTTAATTCAAAAGTTAGCTCAACTCATTCAGAACTCTAAATGTCATATCATCTGTAAAGGATATCCATGAGAATATAATCAGTAGTAAATATTATATAATATATAGCTATAATACTTCAAAAGATAAATAGTTATCAGTTACAGATAGCTGATATTATACTGTTTTTTTTATCATAATATCTAGGTCATACTAGAGTTAGAGTTAGAGGTTAGATTTAATTTTCAGGTTGTTTAATAATATGGTAAAAACTTATCATATTTTCTACTTAGACCTTAGTAAACTTAGGATTTGTTTTACCTCTCTATCTAGAAGATATAAATGAATATCTAGATATTTCTTATTTAACTTTATAGTTATATCATATAAGAAGGTTTCTCAAAGTATAACAATTATTAGAATTGGTAATTAGTCAATCCAAATAGGCTTGAAATAAAGTAACAGAAAATATGTTAGGTAAGCTTTTTCTTCAATAATAAGGTTATTAGCATAAATCAGCAGGTATCACATTTAGTAACCAAAAAAATCATTAGATAAAATATTAAAAAAACTCTTTCTTCTCTTTACTATAATATATAATATGTAAGAAACAAGGAATAATTTTTTTTAAAACCTTTGAGTATCTTTTTAATAAAAATACTTACAAGTTTAATAAATTTATTAAACAATTAAAACCTTTATAATTAAAGGAACTTGATTATTGTTAATAGCAGTTCTTTGATGTTTATAAATTATAAATAGAATTCTAATACAACATAGATATCATATTGCTTGTAACATTAGCATTCTATATAATCAGGTATATTTATTAATTATATCTTTCAAAGTTATTATAATAAAATTGTAAAAGGAAAATAATAGATAACAATATTTTTGTGTTTAGGGAATTATCAGACTTTTCAAGGATTGAATGATATTTATTATAGCAAATATGAAAAATGAAAAATATTAATCATTATAATTATCGTTGTATAAATTATTATGATAATTGTTTTTTATTAAAGAAAAATTCTGCCATTTATATATATGAAATTTTTAACAGAACATTTTTGTCTAGGAAACTAATTTGACCAGTAGACTCGTTTAATCAGAAACAATTATAGCTATTAAATAATATTGGCTAGAGGACAAATTTGACTAGTGAATAATATTAGCCCAAATGATTTTATTGTGCTAAATTAATGATTGCTAGTCAAATTCTTATATATGTAAAATAAAATAATAAACACTATAACAATAAAAAAATAATACTAATAATAATAATAGAAATAAAAAATAAAAATAATACTACTAAAATAATTATAAGTGCTAATAAATGCTAATAAAAAATAACAAGACCAGCTATCTTGAATATTCTGTATTGCTTATTTTTCCTTCTTTGTATATTATTAATGTAATACTATTGCAAACTATTTAAGTTATAGTCATTCTGCAGTTTTTCTTCTTATTAGAAAACTGAACTTTGAATATGATAAACTTCACCCTTTATCTGTTAAAATTCCAGAGGAAGTCATTATTCAACTTGCTAAAACTAGTTTCTTTATTAATAATAAAACTGTAACTTAGGACTTTGACACTAAACAACAAACCAATTTTATTAAAAATAATTTAGAAATTTCTTTTTCACTTGAACAGGAAGCAATGAATATTGATGAGTCTTTAAACTTCTACAACAATAGTCAATTAGCAAATAACAACAATAATAATGCTTTGATTGAAGGATGTATCTCACTTTCTGAACTTTCTGATGTCGATTTATCTTATCAAGAGTGAAGTTGAGAAGGCCCATAGTAAATCAATTCCGTAATGTGATTTTAATCCCATTTACATGAAGCAAAGTTTATTCCATGCCATAACCCACGATCTGTTATGTATAAATGAATTGTTTTTATAATACAAATTTATACATAAAAATCTAAGGAGGTGAAATTTTCTACTGTTTTTTTGACCGCATGTGTATTTTTTACATTACACTAATTTTAAACATTTGTGGAATAGTCGCAATTTACTTAATATAATTGATGCTGCTATCGCTGCTATCGAAGCTATTCAAAATTAAATACAATTGTCTAAAGAATTCAGCCGGTCAAATCTAACGAATCCGATCCAACCAATCCTTCTGAAATACTAAATGAAATTGGTTTATGGGTAGATAGCAAAATAATCTAAGAATTATCATTTCTTTGCCAGTTAGTATAAAGCAAAAAACAAAAAATGTTCATTTCGTGGTAGACACGGGATCCCCGAAAACGTATATTTGTGAAGTAGTATACGAGTCCTTTAAAATAACGATACCCGACTCATCAACTTATAAAATGTTAATAAACAACAAACCCACTGTGGTTCAATTTTCCTCCCGTAGGTTCAAACTTCACGGATATTAACTTACTTGGAATGAAATATCTGAAAGTTACCGATTCAAAGCTAATCATAAATTTCACCAACGACAATGAAAGAGTTTCTATATACTTTGACTATGATAAAAACGAGATTATCTCTCAATTAAGGCAAAGTATTTCTCAAGTAGAACCAAATGTTTTAAGCAGAGTGATTGGAATTGGTTTACTTGTTTTGGTTTTGTTTTTTATTTTAAAAAAAAACCTTATTTTACAATGCTTTAAATATATTCGAATATATTCAAAATAATTATATTTAGTAATTTTAAAAAAATATCTACTTATTTGGCTCATTGTCAATTCTTTTAATATTATCTTGAATCTCTTCATCACACTTTATTCTTTATTTTTTGATTATTCCCTTCAGAGGTGCAAAGGTTTTAGAAGCTTTTTTTTTTCCGAGAATACATAATTATAAGATAGGGTTGTTGTCGAATTAGGAGTTTCTGAAAGTTTCCTGGATATAAATAATTGTCTGCTATAATTACTTTTTTCCATCTCCTAATTTACACCATATTTTTTTAAAGATAAAAATTCTTCGATCGGCTTGGGTGTAGATCTTTAACCTAAATCAGATGTGAAATTTTTGTCCTCTCTCTCTCTTTTAAATGTAAACAGCTAATTTTATCTGTAAAAAAACTTATTAAAATCTTTTCTTTACAACAGAATAAAAAAGCGTGAATGTAAAGGGAATACAAAATAATGTAAAAATGTAATCTTTTTTATTTACAAGATAAATTTCGCTGGCTTATCGTTCACCCTACTTTAGGTTAAGGATGCCCATTTATATAGACAAACTTTTTCGACACTAAAAAGGTATGATAGTTATAGATGGTAGCGGCAATGATGACATTGACGATGGAAATTAACAATTTTAGAATCATTACTAGTTTATAAATGAATTAACTTTTTGAAAATATTACTCTTGGTTCCACTATTTCCTGAACTTTATATATACAAAACCACTCAATTTTTACATAGATGCACTTCCGTCGGAAGATGATGAGAATAAAAAGGCAACAATAATAATTCAAAATTATCGCAAAAAATTGTATTAATATTGTATGATCCTCTAAAAAAACTTGCTGTCTCTGACTAAACCACACATAAAATGCAATATACGATAAAAATAACTTTATGCGAAAATTCACAGGCATCTCGAACAAGCATTTCTTCATAAATTCGACATATCTATCAAAGTCAGAATCACCCAGTTTCTGTTTGGTTAATGAGAAAGAAGTCTGATATGTTATAATAAGGATCAAATAATGCATATGTAAATAGATAGAAATTAGAATAAAAAATAAAAAAAAAAAGGTCATTTTAAAACAGTAAAATATGTCACTCAAATAGGATATAATATATGTGCTAATTTCATTATCTTTTTCCTTTTGAATTCCCCCTTAACAACTCATTCCATTTAATTACTTCATTTTCCCACTTCGTCCTCAACTTCTCCTATCTATCCCTTTTATAACCTCGTTATTTCCTGCTTGTCCACTTCACCACTTCAAATTTTTTTTCTCCTTTTCCTAACGACTTCAGAAATGATGTTCCTCCCCTTTCTCCCCTTTCTCCAATTTCCTCTTTATCAGTCTTTTCTCTAAATTCTCCGATTGTTGCCATTTTGAAAATTTAAATTTAAAATAATTTTAGAAATAAAATTACTGTGCAACTAAAAATGCGGATGTTAGGATGTTGATATAAATAGAAAAATCACGTGTTTGAAAGATTCCGAAAATTTTTTTTTTTAAATTTTGTATGATCAATGAGATCTGAAATAATTCTTCTTGTTCGAAGGAACAGCTACATAAATGGATAATGAAGAAGAGGTATTTAAGGTATTATAAAATTAAATTATTGATAAATCACTCATTAATTGCTTTTACAAATTACATTACTTGCAGTTTCCACTCAGGGCTCACCAAAATGAAGAATTCACGGAACTGAACTTTGAAGCTCAAGCCAGGAAAAATAAAGGATATGAAGAAGCTGCAAAAAACTTAAATGATTTGGTAATTCATTTAATGAACATTTAAGCGTGTTTATACAATTCTTAAATTGAATTAATGATATTTTCTCTCCCCAAAAAGGTGCTTGACACAAAAGACTGTCCATTTTATATACATACTTTTCAAATTCATGGTACAAAAAAGACGCGTCGATCACTGTTCGAGTCTGTGATTAATCCTGCATTACATGCCCGCACATTGGGTTCGGTAATTGATGAAGTTCGTATATCTGCAGATAAATTGAATCGCCTCGACATATTTAAATATGTAGATGTATTGCTTGATAACAACAATGACCCATTTGCACAACCCGGAGCTATTGACGCCATTTTATCTGTAGAAGAAAAAAGTAGATTCTGGATAAAGACTGGGACTGAAATTGGTAATGATGCAGGGAGTGCGGTATGTTATCCTTGGTCATTGATACATCTTGTTTCATATGATAAATTGGTTGATTGTAAGTGCATTTTTTCATTCATTAGAATGTTTCTTTGAATATTCGAAATGTTTTTGGTGGCGCAGAAACATTAGAAACTTACATGTCGGCTGGAACACAAACTTCACATGTATTTGAGGTAGGTACATTTTGTGAATTTTAACACAATGAATGTAAAATTATACCAATTTAATATATTCTCTAGTTTTGTTTAGCAAAACCGATTAATGGAAATCCGGATTCCAAGATAGACATTTCAGCATATAGATTAACAAGGAATAATCAAAGTTTTAGCTCCCATGACGAAATATTGCAAGGGATTGCCCTAAGATGGAGAGTACGTTAAATTATAAGAATCCTTAGATTAAATTTGTAAATATTAACACAATTTTACGTTAATAGGTTCTTTCCAGACTAGGATTTCACGAATTAGCTTACGGATCATCATGGAGACAAATTTGTAATATTGCTCATGATGCAACACTAAGGCAAATTATAATATACATACATATATAGATTAATTTTTTTATTATAAAATATATATATGTATAAACATATATTTATGTTTAATGAATTTAGTATACGGGAATCGGCAGGTCATTCTTTAAAATCATCTCTGACACATACTTTAGTGCGAGATAGGCGTGACGATATAATGTTGCCCTCGCGCGGCTACTACATTAAGTTATTTCAGGTTTATATGAATTATTTTATAATTAATTCACATCATCTTTCAGAATAAGGCTAAATATAATTAAAAAAAAATAAATAAATAGGAATTCGCAGGAATTGGTGGGGACATTCATTTTCTAAAAAATGAATTCGAGAGTCAAATTAATTTTCCTCTCGGTAAAGGCTTTGTAAGTCATAAATTTGTTGACTATTGATCACTATTCTAGTTTGATTTACCTTTTGAAATTAAATATATCAAATTAGATTCTTAGTGCATCACTCAGAAATGGACTTCTATTTCCATTGGAAGCTCAGCAGTCAAAAATTAGTGATAGATTTTTCCTTGGTGGAGCACAATCAGTGAGAGGATTTAAATTGAATGGAATAGGTCCAAGAGAAGATAAAAGTATAACACAAGATTAATCATTCCTTATAATTCAAATTTCTAAATTGTTCGAATTACATATTTATAATTTTTTATTGACATTTAGAGGATTCGCTTGGAGGTGACTTTTATGTTGCGGCAGGTGTAAGTCTTTTCACTCCGTTACCCAAATTGAGCAGATATCCGGTTAAAGGACATTTCTTCTTAAATGGGGGAAGTCTGGTAAAAGTAAATCCATGTAAGTACAAAATCATAACGTTAATGCAAAATGAATTTTCTTTAAAAAAGACTTTATTATAATCATGAGGAATTCAATTTTAGTGCAACCGCTTACTTATGCCTACAAAAATCTCACAAGGGCACCTAGTGTTTCAGCAGGCGTAGGAATAGTGTATAGAAGTAGCATTTTAAGATTAGAAATGAATTTCTGTTTACCATTGATAGCAACAAATACTGATAAGTTAAAAAAAGGATTACAATTAGGTCTAGGATTTAATTTTTGGTAAAGTAATAATATATTTATTATAATAAAAAAAAAAAAAAAAAAAAGTATTAAATAAATATATGTACAGTATAATTCAAAATATCGCGTTTTAAAAAATCGTTTGATCCAGAAAAAATAGTCGCTATCGCTTAATTCTTCCTTTCCCATGATTAGGGGTCCAAGGCCCTAAACTATCATTAGCATAAAAGTCCATTGGATATATAGATTGCCAATCAATTGCATCTAACGCAACTGATGCTTCATATGGTGTTAACAATGGTTTTTGGAACGCATAACCCCAATCTATCGACAAACGTGGACATGCAATTTGAATCCATCTAGAAATTAAAAAATAGAAGTCTTTTACCATTGATTTTTAATGAAAAAAGAAAAAAAAAAAAAAAAGATTGAAGAAACTTACGCGTCAATATCTTGAAATTGTTTCAATTTATTTGGAAATATTTCGGATAGAAGCACACAAATATAATCTAGTCCGTGTGATTTTATTTTTGTTTCAAGGTACTACGATATTTAATCGGTGAATCAGTGTTTAAATGAAGCTATCAATTTTGATGATACAACTCTATTTTCATTATATAAATACCTCTAAAACTTTAGGACTTCCTTGCCTACCCAAAGTTCCTAAGATTAAACCGAATTTTTTAGCTCTTTTAGCCAAATCAATTGCATGTTTTCTTAGGGAATGCATTTCCGCGTGATCATAACGTTCCCTCGTAAACTTCTTGGAATACGGATCATAGCTAAAGGGAAAGTAATTAGTTAATATATATATAATAAGTTAACGATAGAATCACTTTAATAAATACCGGAATGCAGGTATATCTGGGTTAGCAATCATAATTGATTCTAGATGGAATCGACCGTCACCTAGATATCTAAGATCAAACAACTGTGAAACAAATGTCAAGTAAATAAAGTCAATTAAATATGATTGACTTACATTATAGCATCTTGTTCACCTAACTTTGGAGAAGTGCAACCCAATATCTCTCCGGGAGATAAAGGTTTTGCTTGTGGCACAAATAAAGAATAATTATCTTCCAAATGTTTTTTTGTCGCCTTATTAAATATTTTGTAAAATCAAGAAACAATTTTAAGTTTAATGAATCCTTTAAAACAACTTACAATATAATATTGAAATTGAATTTACCTGAATAGCAGCGACAAATTGAATGGTACCAACAATGGTCAATTTCTTCCCAATTTCAAAATTTAATTTCACAGTATTTATAAAATGTTCGGTATCAATACCGATATCAACAAAGACATATATTGTCTTTATTGATGTAACATTTACAGGGACTAAGGATTTAAATTTCTTAATTAATCATCTTGAAAAAAAAAAAAATTTTAGATCTAGAATCTTAATTAACCTAAACAACTATGTCCATAATGTACCATGAAATCACATTCTAAGGATTTTGCGGTATAATCATCTACACAACAAGCACCATATGTAACATCTCCCATTATAAGTGTTTCAACATTACAAAAGCTCTCTAATATGTCCGCTATAGTGCATGCAAACATCAAAAGTCCTTCCGGGAATTGTAACGCGACTAATTAATATACAAATCAATATTGTTAGATTCAACCTTAATAATTATAAAGAACTCGTGAAAATTGACATATCAAAACCTTTTGTAGCTTTTGAACGTTTGATATTCCATACGGTCTTGTGAATTTCAAAATTATAATTCGGTGGAAGCTGTAAAAAAATTTTATTAAAAAAAGTTATTAAAAAATTTAAATATTTGAAAGATGATTTTTATGATAAAAAACCTGTTCAATTGCTTTATTTAATAAAGAATCATTTAATATGTCAAGAGGAATTTGGCTTGCTACTCGATTCGAAGACTTGAGTCTTGGTGAATTTTCTGAATTTATAAAAAAGAAAAAAAAATTGATTAAAAGAAATTTTTAATACAAATAAAATGATTCATAATAATACCTATTGCAATAACAGAACTACTATCTTCTATACTTGTAATTTGATCTTGATTTTCTTGCTTTTTTCTCGCAGCTGCTTTTCCAACGAAACGTTTACGCGGTTTTGTTTGGTTTTGAGAAACTTCATTTAATTCTGACATTTTAACGAATATTTATGTATCTTAACATTTACTTTTATTAAAAGGTTAACCAATATAATCAATGGACTTTTGAGAGAAAAAAAAATATTTAAGAAAATTAATATGTAGTAATCCTCTTAAAACCGTTTATTTTATTGACGATATAAAAATTCTAAATTCAAAAAACGAATTCATTCATCCAACTGGTTGAGATGATTTTTTTTTATTTGTATCACTAATATTTTCATTTGCAGCACTCCACTCCAACGAATCCTAAATTTACGACAAATTATTAATCAAAACATATGATATAAATCAACATTAAAAAATAATTTTAATTTACTTGATGATTAATTTTCTTGAATTCATGTATTTCTTGATTTGGATTGATTGTTTCTCTGTCATAAGCGGTTTTTGTATGAGAAATTTGATTCGTTGTACCTGATATGGTTTGCTCATTACGATTATAAACTTTGTCTTCGTCTTCCTTTTGTTCATTTCCTAAAAAATTTGGTTCGGAAGAATTCATGGTCGAAGTGACCAAATATCTCATAGGACGCATTACTGTATAAGTTTTTGGTAAATTACGATTCAAGTTCATTTTTATATCTTTTTCTCAAAGGTCAATCGAAAGAAAACCATGGGTTTATATACCAAAAAAAAACATCATGACATATTAATGATCAAAGAAAAAATGGCGTCGTGTTAATAATATATCATTCCTTTTTTATATAGTATGTGAAGGAACAGCGTTTTACCTCCAAATGTTACAAAATATCATGTATCAATGATTCTAAAAATTCTTGATTATGTAGTTGAAGGATCTCATTAAATTAAATTATGAATACATGTGATTGTATTATTTATTATTTATCTTTTTCTTTCTTTCTCGAGTTTTTGTAACTTGCTTGTGAAATGCTTTAAATTTAATATTTAAAACAAGCCATATCAAACCTAGAATTTATGAATAGCAAACTCAACGATACGACAATATTCTATTAAAATATAAGAAATGATCTAGGCCTATAATATACAATTGAAATATAGAATCTTTTTTTACCGACAATGTATCAAGGGCTACTAAACAATATAGAAATGAACTTTTAGCATTATGTGATAAAAAGAAAATTAAAAAATATACTTCAGACATTTGAAGAAATAAATATAATTATAAATTTTTCTTTATTAAATAAAATCATGAAAAAATATATCGATGATATCCATGATATTATAGATAAATATAAAGTATAAATAATTTAATAAAAGATTAAATATAAGTATAAATAATTTAATAAAAGATAAAATAATGTTCCTAGTATATAAAAAAAAATAAAAAAAAATAAAAATTCGACCAAAGGTATGGTGGACTGGGACGGGGCCGGGGCCAACTAAAAAAAATTTTTAATACATTATGAATTACTTTTTCACGAACATTAAGAAAACAAAAAGAGATATTTCGTTTTTTCTTTACCTACCATCTGTTGACACCTCCTCCTTCCGCAAGGGAAGGTTATTTATCCGCGGTTCGGATATAAGGTTGTCTATCCGTCATTTTAATTATTAATTTTTTTTCTTTGAATATAAATTTTTTGAGAGCACGTTCAAGGATAAAAACCCAGGTATTTATGTGAAATATCATTTAATAGTGTATGGATTTATTTTTTCTTTGAATATAAATTTTTGGGTAGCTAGCTCAAGGATAAAAACCCAAGTATTTATATGAAAAATCATATTGATTTGTAATATGCTTTGTAATGAAGTGAAACTGTGAAACTTTTAGGTTGTAATCATATATTGATTTAATTAAATGTTTTGAAAACAAAACTCTGTTAATTAAATAGATCTCTATCGATAAATTCCTGATTTTAAAAAATATTTTGTCATAATTGGCCCGTTAATTAAACCCCAAATGAAAAAAAAATTCTCACATCGATTATAGACTCCACTCAAGTAGGGTTTTCGTTATCCATCAAAAAAACAATCAAGTTTTAACAAGTTTTTTACCCCTTATCATTCCATGTATTTTATCCATCTATTTTTATCAATTTCTAAGTCCAAACATTGGGGTTTTAAAAAAAATTTTCAGCCATTTCACCAATTTTTTATTTATCGCTTATCTTTATTTATAATCGAAATCCAAAATAAAATTAGTAGGATCGGTCAGTCAAAGGTTTCTAACTAATAAAAAAAAAAATTTATAGTTAGGATTTATTAATTAATAAATTGTTAATTTATAGTTAATAAAATAATTTAAAAAAATTATTTATTAAAAAATTTATATAAAATTATAATAGAGAAAAAATACTTTTTCCAATTTTCAAAATGACTAGAAAAAGTATTTTGAAAAAAATATCTAATAATTGTAGCTATTCTTTATTATCAATTATTAATAAAATTTATCATCACTAACAAAAGAGTATAACTAAACCATTACTAATAATAACAATAACAATTACCTATTTAGTTAACTTTGACTTTAAATATAAAAGACTTATCAGAAGAAATTATGAATATTAATTCAACTTTAACTACTGAAAATAAAAGCAAAGTATCTGAAACTTCTCTTTCACCCATTACTAGCATAGCGGACATGCTTATATCACATGTCGATCATTTTGCCGATCATATATAACTGAATTATCACATTATATAAAATCAGCCGATCTAGACTTTAAAGCTTCGGGCAACAATGAATATGCTCGGGCGAACTCTACAAATTAATAAATTTGATATTATAGATTATGCAGAATATGATTTTAAAACAGTTAATCTAAGATT